TGTCTCGTTGAACTTTTTAGGCTTCAGGTTTAATGCTGTGTCTCATCGTACCCCCATTTTTTCTCCAATATCTGACAATGCAAAAGATCTGATCTGTAGTTGATCTGTCACGTCGAAACCCACACTGATGATCCCCAATAATTTCATCTATATATGGACTTAACCTTGAGAGAAGAATATTGGATACAATTTTATATGAAGTTGATAGCAGTGATATCCCCTTATAATTACTACAGTCAGTCTTATCACCCTTCTTGTGCACTGGTACAAGAACAGGCTCCTTCCACTGATCAGGCAGTTCTTCCTTATGCCAAATGGAATTAACGAGTTCATGGATCTCAGACTGTGATGTTTCGCCTCCTGCGTGAATCATTTCTGCCGGAATTTGATCAATACCTAGCAATTTATACTAATTAGCCCACTTTCCTTAATTTGAAAACTGAAAGTGGCAGAGCTCTATGCTGTCCCCCAGACAGGTGACGCACACATTAAGCAGAAACTGGTCAGCAGGTTCTGACGTGACGAATCGCTTTGAAGGGCTCAGATAAGGCGAGGCACTGAAACGTAGAGGAGACAATTGGAACGAAAGCGAATCTGTTTCCTTGAGTGTCGAAGCATCCGAGAGAGGGGGAACGGTTGCCTTTATAAACCGCCTCAGGGCAACTCGTCCACGAAAACACGAGAGCCTGGTTCACACCAGCACGCAGCGTGTGAGGTACATTTACGGAGGCAGAATATGAACACTTCAGGGAGAAAACAGCGGTGACGAACACTTCTCCAAGTAACTTTAGCCGATCGCCGTCCTAAAGATCCCACGACTGTCACTAGAGATGAGCCCTCAGTCGCAGGTATACGGGCTTCGGATACCGGGAAGGGAACACTGCGGGGTCACCAGATCATGCACCGTATGTTACCGTCTTAAGTCAAAATTGCGTACGGTGATTGTCAACCTTTACATTTTTTTAATTCGCTTAGTGGGGGATGGAGTCCAACTGGGTCCACTCGGCACGGCGGCCACTGATTGGCCTATTGTACCTGCCCCGGGTGATTATGATGGAGAATTTGGTGGAATGAAGATTGGCAGGGGAAACCGAAGTACTCGGAGAAAACCCGCCCCAGCGCCACTTTGTCCACCATAAATCCCACTTGACCAGACCCGGGATCGAACCCGGGCCGCCGCGGTGGGAAGCCAGCGACTAACCCCTTGAGCTATGGCGCGGCCCCAGTCTTTACATTATTCCTCCTTCCAGCTCGCCTCTCAGTGACCTCTTCTGTCGTCAGCATAACTCTTATTCACAACAATGCGCTCCCAGTTCGCTTGTCATTCACACTACCCCCCATCTCCTCCTGTGTCTCGACTCCAACCGTCCTCTCTCTCACCCTCACGTATCTCCTAGCCATAAGCCCCAAGTGACCATTAATTTTAAACAAGCAAGTATTAGCCGAGTTCAATATCCTCTTAATTTCCTCCTGAATCAGCATTTGATTTGTTATATTTGTATCTGAACTGTGCCACATTTTCAAAACATCTGTTACCTATTTTCATGTAATGATTTTGCCCTCCATTTTGATGACGAGATAGCAAAAATAAAATAGAATACACTTGCCCGGTACGGGGTAGCGGCATACAAGCCGGAAGGTCGCGGGTTCGATTCCCGATGAGGCCATTGGTGTCTTCAATTGACCTAATCTTTCCAGCCGCACTATTGCTGTGATGTCGACTCAGCCTCTAACGGAAATGAGTGCCAGGAATCTTCCTGGGGGATAAAGGGCGGTCAGCGCGTAAGGCTGGCAACCTCACCGCCATCTGTGAGCCGACTGTCTAGAGAAAATGTGGGAGCCTCGACGTCTCACAACCCTATGGGCCTCAACGGCCTGTTACAGGGATAACTTTACCTTATTATTAATTACCTCGTCGGTGAAAACTGCCCGATTCCAATCCGTGCGTCACTGCTTCACTCACGCGACGCTTCGTCCTGTGAAGTGACGCTACTGCGAACGTCGCTGCCAGCCGAAACCCTTTCGACGGCCCGACAATTTCGTATCTCAAGTTTAGTGAAAGAAAAAGTGCCTTTGCGTGCACCGACATTTAACTTTGCGAAAGTCGCTGTGAACATTGTGCCACTGGATGTCCCCAGGGTCGTCGTAACATCTAATTTCCTACAATTAGCTGATGAGCAAACTCGTGATCTGAAAACGTTACTGGGGTCACTTAATCTTGGGTCAACAACTGATGCACGACATCGCTAAGGAACCTGAAACTCCTATGGAGGGAGTTTTGTTGCGGAACGTAAGGTGGGAACATGGCGTTCATGCGGACTATACACGTATTTACTCAGATTTGGTCTGACGGCGATAATTAGTGAACAACCGGACACATAAAATTTTGTACAGGTATGAACCGTAAATATATTCACATATTGCTTAGAAAATATTGTTTGTGTCAGCAGTCATAAACATGGCGGCAATGCGAAAAAAAAACTTTCAGGTTGTAAATTTAACCTGCAATAGAAAGTTTTCTGTAGAAACAAAACTATAAGGCATAAGGGAGTGTAGACTTCACGAGTCCTGCCCAGAACTTCATGCTACCATTAGCTCGTGCAACTGGGGTCCTACTTCTGTAGGAAATGGCTGACAATCAGTGCAGGGTAAAATACTTCACACACATACGCTTACAACCTTTTCATTCAACGTCCGTTTTAATATCATCCCCCGTCTACGCGTGCTTCTCCCAGCTGCTCTGCCTTCACGATTACCTAACAAGATTTCATAAATCTCTTCTCTCCATGCTGGCTACATGCCCAGCCCTTCTTCTATGTTATCCGTTTCGATCACATTCATTCGTAAATGTACAAAATGACCATGAATTATCGTTACATAATAATTTAATTTTCCCACCATGAATATGGAGGCAGCAGGTTCCTTCGAAAAGCTGATATATATATGTACTAAAATACACTGCGGGTCACTTATGTCAGAAGCAAAATAATTAAGTTAGATTTTTTAGATATAACCTCGAAGTTTCAAGTAGTAGCCATGTTTGTAGCGACGGACTGGACTGCCCAGGTTCGATTCCCGACATGCATATATTTTGTCTTAACTTGTCCACGTCGTCCAGACCGACTCTGGGGCCCACCCAGCCTCCTATCCAATGGGCAGAGGGGGTAAAGCAACAGGGGCGTGAAGCTGACCACTCACGTGCAGCTTCCCCATACGGTTTTCACGGCATAACTCTTCACAATTCGTATGGAGGCTCACAGGATACGAACCACGGACAAGGCAGAAATGTTTGCAGGTGGAGAAACGCTGCCGTGTGAAATATATGCACGTCCTTGCCATGATTATTCACTGGCTGCACGGCCCCTGACGTCACATCACGAGGGTAACCGCTCAGAATTCCATTGGCTATTCACATAGCATCCGCCCAATCATGTTTCAGATCCTTAAAACTCGTTCACTGGTCGTGTTCAAATCTGCAAACAGCAGACACTTTTATATAATGCCCCCCCCCCCCAATTCCTTTCCGTTTTAGCTCAACTTTCCTTGTTTTGAAGAAAGTCAGGGTAGCCGAGCGGTCTAAGGCATCTACTGTCTTCGCTCGCTTGGAAACCGGGATCGTGGGTTCGAATCCCACTCAGGGCATGGATGTTTAGTTTGCGTTTTTGCGTTTTTCTGTGTTTGTGTACAGGTAGAGGCCTTGCGACGAGCTGATCACCCGCCCAAAGAGCCCTACCGAATGTGTAAGATCTAGAAACGGAACGGAGAAGTTCATGGAGGCAGGCCTAGGCCCACTGGGGCTGCAGTGCCAAGAAAAAGGAAAAAAAAGGCTAATGACATCACGTTGCTGTCTAACTCGCCAACCCCTAGCTCCTGAAAACGTAACATGGAATCAATAACTGACAACAATGGGGACTCTGACGGGTCATATTTAGAACATGAGGGTAATGATGACTAGTGTGTATTTCAAGAGCCGTTGCTAGGGAACAGCTCTGTGAATACACAATAACGGAAAAGACGTTATTCATTTGTGAGAAGTGCTGGTAAGTGAGTCCTGGGGGACTTTGGGAACCCAGAGTAAGAGAAGCGTCCGCAGTTGGAAGCCGCCACTAAGCAACGGCAGGTGAGGACTGAGAAGGCTTTATATATGATGTAATTGTAGTGATCTTTGAGTGTATAACTCAGTAAGACTGTTGTAGTTATCTGTAGTTACTAAGTGTTCAGTAAATCCGACTACAATCCAAACCCCGTCTACAGCCAATCGCGTGACAATATGTACCGTATGCTTCACCTTACACACAAACTCTACACTGTGCCGTACAATGCATTTATGTGAGACTATTTCCGAAAACAGCATGAATCGGTTGGTCTTGTAATGTAGACACGGAATGTTTACTGTGTGGTAAACAGGCAAAGTTGTCCCTACGCCATGAAGGCATATTGCACTCGCGCACTAATGGAGGTTACTGGTCAGTTTCACGACCCGGCCGCTTTAACTCCGGGGAAAGTACCCCCGGTACTCATTGGATAGAGGAGTTGGTGAACCCAAGAGCCGGTCTGGACAACGTGAAGGGAAAATTCTTGCCCCCACCGGGACTCGAACTCCGAACACTTGGCCGTCCAGCCCGTAGCCTGTCGCTGTACCGACTGCGCTATCCCGGCTCCTTATTGAGAGGTTGGAGTTGAATGTATTAATATAATGCATATATTCATACAGGATGACCCAGGCCTGTGAGCAGTGCTGAGGCCCTGTCGGTCCGCTTATGCCCTCCTGTCCGTACAAGTTCACAGTTTGCGAACGCATCCCTCCCAAAGCCGCGGTTCAACCTTGCGGCCCATTGAGTGGGGTTAAGATTCCCCGATGGATGTTATCGCTTCGTCTCGTATCTTTTGTGAATTTGTTCTCCTTTTTTTGGAGGAGGGGCGGGACACAGGACTGTGGAGGGGGGTTCCTATAAATAAGACCGATGCCAGCGACCCTGACATTGCTGTCTTGTATTTCCTTAACACAGAGGGGAGAAGTCGGTTTCGCACACGGACGGGATATGAAGTCAGTACATCAGGGAGTAATCATCATCGCCCTCATGCTGATCGGTCATCAAGGGAGGGCCTTGGTACCATTCGGAGAAAGAGGTCGATATGCTGACCTTACACCAGGTGAGTCCCAGTCTTTGACAATGAACGAGATAAACCGTTCTCCTGTGTCTGAGGTGGGTTACTGAGCACGGGAAGGGTTACAGAATGAGTTCTGCATATCCCGTCCCCTAAGCACTGGGGCGATTTGGGAACAGGGGTGCTCTACAGAACGCCACACAATGAGAACCTGCATACTTTGTGCTCCTCGAGAGATAATATTNGCTTCTGTGAGCGCCGTAAGGAACCTTCGGGTTCCGTTAAACGCTGAGAACATTCGTGAAGGGCCAATCAATGTGCATGGCATGATCATGATACGTGGGCATCTCTTAAAGAGACAAGGCCGTGCCATAGTTCAGGCGGCTCGGCATCCCGGGTTCGATCCCGGGTCAGGGTCACGTGCCAATTCTCATCCCATTACCGACACTCACGCCACCGTTAAATAACAAACACAACGGGATGTGAGGGCATGAAATGGACGCAAGTGGCTTTAAGAGGGGTTTTGTGAGCCAACCTCAGGGCAGCTACGCGACTATCAGATTCTCAAGAAGCATTCTCCCACCTACAGTCACGTGTATCAGTAAAAACAAATGAGATACTTCTTCTGCGGATGTTGTTCAGAGCATGCGCGGGGAAGGGGATCTAAACAAGATAACATCAGAAATTTTCCTCGAGGACTACAACCTCACTCCGGAGATGTTGCGCGCCCCAATGAACCGGAGAGTTATGCTGGCGGGAGCGTAGTCTCCTGGTAGCGCCACCCATATCGCACAGGTCAAAGGGTAGGGGTCGGATGAAGTGTAGTTTCTGGTCCTCCAGGTTGAGGGGTTGAGCGTGGGGCTAACAAATCACACACCGGACAAAACTGACCGTTACGAAACCATGGAAGAGAACAAGACCCACAGAGGCATGCAGCGATAGGAGAGAAAAATATTAAAATTGTTATCTTCTGGGGCGTTAGTCCGTGTAGGCAGGTACCATGAATGGCTGTAAGAAAGGTGTTGCTTACATTTTTACGGTGGAAGATTTGTAACCCTGAAGATGAAACAACAGGTTCATCCGAGATATTGATATCTACAAAACTACACGGTTTCACTTCCCAGAAGACATTCGTCTCAGTATCTGCGACTGTGAGAACCCCAAATCCAAGTTTACCCACTAACCATTGCCTCCTTCAGAACAAAATGGGGATTTACTGTCTTTCCGTCTTCCATCTCCCCCTCTCTGACCGCAACTGCTTATTAAACACATCCACAAGTCCCTTCAAAGTCTGTATAGGATAGCGCCGCGCCGAGGTGACAAGGGACACCCAGAAATAAGCTCCTTGCTCAGAAAGAAATCTGAGTGCTAAATGAAGACTACGACGAACTAGACTTACAATAATCAGACATAAAATTATCCACTGTTTGGTTTTGGTGCCCAAAATGGTCATTAGTCAAACCCGTGTACCGAATGAATGCAAGCGATCCTCTACAGGATCTGTTTTCGTTAAAAATTATTGGGTTGATCATTGTCCATCACCTTAGATACATGTTATATGTTTCGGAACCTTAATCTCCTTCCATCATCAGGAGTAAAAGTGTGGTAAAAGATCCCCTCAGTTTCGCCGTTAGAGTTAGTCTCGATAACTGGGCTAGGCTAGCTCCCCATCTAACTGGATCAAATTGGTAAGACTGTTCTCCCTGTTACCCCCGAACACTGGGGGCAGGGCGCAGCATTTTTAAGGGTTCAAAGTTCGCGCTTCGTTACGTAGATACTAAATTCGAAATAACATAACAGGCCTACACACATTGTTTCGAAATCGTTCTGTAACAGACAAGGACACGCGGTAGCGTAGTTGGTTGAGACACTATGCAACAAGCCGGAAGATCGCGGGTTCTAGTCCAGATGAGATGGATTTTTTCAGTTTATCTAATCCTTCCAGTCGCACTATGGCCCTGGGATCGACTCAGCCTCTAACAGAAATGAGTACCAGGAATCTTCCGGGGCGTAAAGGGCGAAAGGGGCGTAACGCTATCTGTGAGCCGATTGTCTATAAAATGTGGGAGCCTCGAAGACGGTTCATGCCTTAGACAGCGCGGGCACTGTGATCGCTGTTCCTTCCCATTTATTCCTAGTTTTTGTAAGTGGTCTCTTTCCTTCGGGTTTTCTTACCGAAACTGCGCCTGAGCGCCACACTGTAACAAAGTGTACACAAGTTATTAATGCAGTTCTGTGCTATGCTGTGCGCTGCTTAAACAGAAAAAGTCATGCTCAACCACTGGATGTTGCTGTAACAGGTTCTGGGCTATGCATTTCGGTGTGCGTAACTCTTCTTTATTCGGATAATTTTCATTATTACATTAAAAAGGTTGCTATAGACGCTGACGAGGTTCATTTAAATTCCTCGTTCGCATTTTTGCAGAGGATTAGCGACGGTGCGTTGAGGCCGTCCAGACTAATTACAGTGCCCCTGTCTGAGTAATGGCAACTTCTGCCAGCAATCTCTGATAATTGCCACGTATCTCTTGCGTCTAACATCGGACGGAGTCTTTCAGCTCTTAATGATAACTTCTTCGATGATGACGTCTGCATTCCTGTCCCAGACACAGGGAGGTCCCCTCACGCCGGCATCCCGATGCGCCTCGAGGGAGAATGCCTGCACCGAGAACAATGGAGGCCACTTCCAACGTGTTTTGTTTCGGGGGAGGGGCACCATGCTACAAGCCGGAAGGTAGCGGTTCCATTCCCGACGAAGTCGTTGGATTTTTCAATTGACCTAATTCTTCCAGCTGCACTATGTCCCTGGGGTCGACTCAGCCTCTAACAGAAATGAGTACCAGGAATATTCCTGGTGGGTAAAGACCGGCCGGCGCTTAAGGCTGACAACCGCACCGCCATCTGTGAACCGACTGTCTAGAAAATGTGGGAACCTCGACGCCTCAGAACCCTATGGGCCTCCACGGGCTGTTACAGGGGACAGCTGTTTATGAGTGTGGGGTAAGAGCAGGGTAGTAATGAAACCCACGGAACGTAAAACAATTAGTGACATGCTGTTCTGAAATGTGGGGTATGGGAACTCTATCACTTTCAGTGAAGTTTCGTCCTCAAACAAAGCCGAACAAATGTTCAACTGAGCACAATCGCTCTATCTATACAGAAAGAAGGACCATCCATCCGCCCCAGTAGAGAGTTACTGATGTGGGGAACAGGGGGCAATGCCCTGTATCTACAGCAAGTTACCATAAAAGTGGCAACTCACGCAAACAACGAAACCGCATGTAGCAAGCGGTCTTTTCGCAGAATCTAATAGTCACTTAGCTGGTCAACAAATTCCTTGCCTTTTATGTATCGAGGGGTTTCGTAATACAGAACATGACACCCCACGCGGGAGCTGCACTCCCCTGAGTTCTGGAGAACATCAAAAACTGAAAAACTGTCAAACTTTAATGTCCCCGTGCCATGAAGGGGTATAAAGGAGTGGATGTATAGATCTACATATTCTTGACATGGAACTAGACGGATGTGAGTGGTCAGCTTCATGCCACGGCCACTTTACCCCCGCGGAAATATCCCCCGGTACCCAATTTGTCAGGAAGCTGGATGGGCCCCAAAGCCGGTCTGGACGCTAGGGACGGGAGAAAAATCTCGCCCCTCCAGGAACTCGAACTCCGACCCCTCGGCCGTCCAGCCAGTCGCTATACCGACTGAGCCATCCTGGCTCCTGTGCGTAAAGGAGTCATGTTATTAATAGGCAAGATTATATTTATAAAAGGGGTACGTAATTCACGCCTCGTAGCAGCAATGAATGTACATGGAACAAGGCTGGCAGCGATGTGTTGCGTCAGTCAGTCCGAGCTGGAACAATTTCTAGGAGGAACGACCGCACAATGTCAGCGATGTAGATGCTGCAGGACAAGAAACACGAGCAGATGTTGGGAATATCATAAAAATGGAGGCAGTCTTCTCGCTCGAGTTGCACGCAGGCATTGCCCTGTGACGTCCAGGATTCCACGAAACGCCGCGACTTTCCGCCACGATAAACAAGTTACTCTGACGGCGAACATGTTTCTTTTCATCTGTGATCAGTGGACATATCTCAGAAATGCGCTGAGGAATAAGTCACATTTACTGCCGCCATCTTCTCTCGCTCTCGCATATTTTTTTTGTTCATAAACTGTAGTCTACAGATTAGATGGGCCAATTTGTCTATTAATTAAGGCCGAAAACAAAAAAAAAATGGCTCTTCTTTCTCCAAAGTACGACAAATCTATCTTGTTCCATTGCGCTGTGTGTGTATGTGGGTATATATATTGTCACGTGTAGGAGGGTACGCGTGACGAAATGACGGGTTGTAGTTCGGACGACTGAATTCATTAACAGCTTCGTTACACACACTCTCTCTCTCATAATTACACTTAAATACAGCGCTATCGCTGATTTACATACACTCCAGTTCACCGCTGCGCACGCACTAGGAGAACATAAAAATTAGCTTTATAGCATGTTCTTACCAATATGTACGGCAGCCACGGCTGTGAAAGCGATGTACAAATTTTGCGGTAGGATTTTTGAGTGTGATTCGATATCATATTCTAATTTTGTTGGTTCTCACAGCGGCAACTATGAAGAGTTACTATCTTCAGGGATGTGACGCCGTGTAGTCCGGTAGCAGTTGGAATGTACTGTCTCTAACGTCAGTATCAAAGCGTATGGAACTAAGAAGGCAAACCAGAAATAAATATTTCCTGCTTGGTTCACTGCTATGGTCGGTGAAGATCTACCGGGCTGTACGGCGTCACAGTACTGTCATTGCAATTTCTGTTATGAGTTGTTCAGAACTCCAGCCTGTGCCACACTGAGAGCAGTAGCCATCAGTACTGCTGACAGTGTTATGGGGGGAGGGCGGGATCTCTGTCACTGATTTCTGTTATGAGTTCTTCAGAAGTCCAGTCTGTGCCACACTGAGAGCAGCAGCCATCAGTACTGCTGACAGTGTTATGGGGGGAGGGCGGGAACCTCTTGCACTGATTTCAACAAATTCT